GTTCTCCCACCGGCCAGCCTCCTGGAGCAATCTCCAAGCACCAGGATTTGGCTTTGCTCTGGGAAAGTTAGTGGAGGGGCTTCTGGGTCCCCAGCAGAGACCATGGAGCCTGCTTCCCCACTTTGCCCTGAAGCCCACCCCCTCTGGCAGCCAGAAAAAAAAAGGGGAAGAAGCATGACTTACCTTCCCGGGGGAGTGGGAAGAGGGGGACACGACCCACTCTGAGCAATTAGAGGAGAGAGGAGGAAAAAAAAATAGGAGGAAAAAATATCAACACGACCTCGAAGGCGACAGGTCCTTATGGAAATAAGTAAGTAAATAAATAAATAAGGATCCACCCTCTCCCCCCTCCCCACCCTGCAAGGGGGGTGTGGGGGTGGGGCAAAGGAGCAGCACAAGGGCTTTTTAGTGTAACTGAGCATTAGAGAAATACGCACGGCTTCTATGTGAATTTAGGAGTTTGAAACTTTTGGAGGTTATTTATGTGAATGGCCCGAAGGCAAGCCCGTGAGTGGCTCTTGGGGGACCACGTGATGTCATTAAACCAAGTTTTATGGTGTAGGGAGAGCTGACAAACCCACAATATATTTACATCATATATAATCTTAACTGTCCAGCCACGCAGCTGCTGGTGAGGTTTAATGCTAGGACAGAGGGCCTGGCAGTTAGAGGGGATTACGGCGCTGGGGATGATGGTGAGGGGTTACATCTTCGCAAATGAATCCCAGGCGAACGCTGTAAGTTAATTTTCTCTCTCTCTGACCCTTTCTCCCGTTTACCTAATCCCCCTGCCCCATGATAGAAGGCTGTTCCCACTCATTAAGGGGAGGGGAAGAAGGCCTCCCTGGGCATTCCCAGGCTAGGGTGGAAGAAGAAGAGTAGAAGCCGCTGGGAGGTAGGAGGATGGGGGAGCTTGTCCCCTCTGACCAGCCCTCCCTTCCCTGCCCTTTATTCCCTCCAGCTGCAAGTCAACTGCGGTAAAGAGAGGCCTGGGTTCTTTAGAGCTTTGCCAGGTCTCCCTGAGCCCCTCTCCCTCCTCAGCTGGGAAGAAAGACTGCGGCAGACCCCTGGGTGTTTGGTGTTTTGTAAGAGTGTGCAAACTGTAGGCGCAAGCGCAAAGTGCCTCTGGGGCACCCCCAGCCTAGGGAGGGGCCAGTTCAGCCCTTGGGCCAGTGGCTCAGAGTCCAGGCAGCTGCAGAGGGAGGCCAGGAAGGAAGGCTTTGGGACTTCTGAGCCCCCAGGCTGCGACCTGAAATGGCAGAAAGAAGCATCTTAAAGGTAGCTGGTTGAGCCCAGAGAGTCCCAAAGCATTTTCTCTTTCCTCACCACCAGGCCTGGTGGGCAGCTGTCCCAGCGTCTGTAGTCTGGGGTCTTAGTCCGCCTGGGGCCAGTGTGGTTTCATGCCTCCCTCTAGCTGTTGGGGTCTTTCCTGGCATTCCCAAGCCCTTTGCCTGAGGTAAAAGTAGGCCCCAGAGGCCCAGAGGTTCCCCCTGTGAGTGGAGTATAAATGGGTGGGAGAGGGGCGCCTGGGTGGCTCAGTCGTTAAGCGTCTGCCTTCGGCTCGGGTCATGATCCCAGGGTCCTGGGATCGAGCCCCACATCGGGCTCCCTGCTCGGCGGGAAGCCTGCTTCTCCCTCTCCCACTCCCCCTGCTTGTGTTCCCTCTCTCGCTGTGTCTCTCTCTGTCAAATAAATAAATATCTTTAAAAAAAAAAATAAAATAAATGGGTGGGAGAGTGGAGGCAATGTCTTTACTAGGCTGACCAGGAAAGCCCCCCCAGCTCTGGGGAGAGAGTGGCCTGGGGGTGGTGGTGGAGCCATCAGGGCCCAATATGGGCATGGAGTTCTTCAGCCAGTCTCAAGCTCGGCCTCCCTAAAGGTTTCTAGGAAGGAGCAGCCCAGCGTCAGGCACGGGAGGCACGTGTCCTCCACACCTGCAAGGCACCCCCCTCCCCATGCGCCACCCAGAGCTAAGCCAGGACAGCGACGATGTAGAAACTCAGCCTCCTTGAAGGGGCCGACCGAATGAACTGAATCTGGCGGGATTGCGAATCAGGGCGGAAGGCAGGCCCATGGAGAGCGACTGGTCCAGGCCAAGGGAAAGGAGAGGAGAGCGGCGGGGGCGAGCCAGGTCTGCGCCTTCCCAGAAGGGAGAAGGGAGGACTGCCCTGGGGCGCGAGGGGGTCTGGACGCCCTTCTGTGGAGAAGTGCTGTTGGGGGACGGGGGGTAGGACGCGGTTAGTGTGCCCCTGCCGCCCAAGGGGGCTGAGGAAGAAGCAGGACTCAAGCAGAGACGGAGAGCCCAGGCCCACTCTGGGAGGGTGAAGGGGAACAGAGACCCAGAGACACGGGCGCCTGAGCCGATCTCCAAGCCCAGCTCTAGCCGGCTCTCGCCTTGGTGAGGAGCGCTGGCGCGGGACCCGGGCGGGGCCGGCTGGGGGGGGGGCGGGGCGGGAAACTCCCCGATGCCATCCCTCTGGGGACCCCTGTTCCGCACCAACATTGGGCCTCCCCACTCCTTTATTTCCCGGGAAGCGTGAGGATCCTAGAGGATCTCCCCAGGAGCCCATTCCAAAAGTTAACTCTCAGTTTCTCCCTTTCTCATAATCAGCCCTCTCCATTCTCTCCTCCCCATCAGTCTGTGATTTGGGGGGTTTCTGGAAACTTTCCATTCAAGCCTCAGGGAGATGGGAGTTTTCCTTGCTCTCTAACTTGACTCTTCCCCTCCCGCCGGCTCCCCAGGGCTTTAGGGAGCGAGTCTAATGGTCTTCAACCAAGAATTTAGCCATCCCACACCCAGGCAAACTCGGCCTTCGCGTACTCCTGGCCAAAGCGCAGTCCCGTGGAGAGGGGTGTGTGTTTCTGTTTTACAGATTTACACAGCGTCTCTTGGGGGGTTCTATGACTTCCTCATCTCCTTTTCTGTTTCTTAGGCTCAAAAGT